TAATATTTTAAATTTAAAATATTTATTTTAAAATATTATAAAATAATATTATAAAATATTATAAAATATTTTAAATTTAATATTTTTTATAATCGATTGTTTAAAAATTTTTCAATTTTAAAAACTGAAAATCTTAATTAAAATTATTATTTTTCATAATATTCTTTCCAAATTTATAATTTCTTTTTTCAAATTTTATTTATTTAAAGAATGTAGAGCAAGATGTTAAGAAATAATATTGATTTTTAAACTGAGATTGAAGAAGACAAGATAATGAATTGTTTCTTATAAATTTCTTATAACTTATTATATAACTTATTATTTTATATATAATATTTTATATATAATTTTATAACTTATTATTTCTTTAAAAATCTTAATTAGTTAAAATAATTCAAAAATCAATTTCACTTCTTTTTGTCATATTTAATTTCTATAATCTAAAAATCAATTAATATTTCTTATAATATTTTGCTCCATACTAAATTCTTAAAATACATAAAAATATTTTAAAAATATCGAATTTAAAAATTATCTCTCATAATATTTTCTCAAAGCTCGTAATTTAAAAAATTAACTTCATAATTTGTTATATTCTCTTTAATCAGAATATATAATTTAACTTTATTGTTTCATAGCTTGCAATCTCATAATATAAGAAGTTAATTGCTTCGTTACTTCTTATAAAATCCTCTCTGATATTATAATTTAAAAATCAACTTCTATTCCACTTTTCATATTGTTCTTCACTAAATTCTTCAATAAATAAAAAAACAAAAAAAGAAAAAAACATCAAACTCTTTTCCAAATTTTTCTTCTCGATCATTTAAAAAACTTACCTCGCACCTGGAAGTGTCCAGTATCTCAACTTCAGTACTAACATTATCGATGGTAACGCTGTGCCGGTATAGGAAATCTGTAACAAACAGGACAGAAATGAGATTACTCGACTTGATGAATGATATTTCTGAATATCCGTATCACTAGTCTCGGTCTACAGGGCCTTGCGAAAAAGGTGGTATCAAGAAAAGATGTATGATCTCGCTTTCCAACGATAATGAAATCGATTCGTCAGTTCTCTTCGAGGATCGGGAGAGATCTGAGACTGGTTAGCGAACGAATAATCGTTGGATCTATCCCTCGTCTTTGCTTGACTGATATATGAAACGATAACTGAAACTGAACATTGAAAGAAAGAGAGATCGATCTGGCATGGTGAGAATCGAGAAATTATTGCTCGAGCTAAATCTCTGTTAATTCTCGAAATCGTTATCGTTTCTTATTCCTTTCGACATAATCTTCTTAGTTCTGTGTAATTTACACACGCCATTTATATAGAGAATTTTAGAATTATTATAGAAAAAATACTTATAGTAGATAAACAAAGCAAAGGATAGAGGATATTTAAAATTAATTGGAGATAGATAATACTGCAGATGAAGAATCTAAGTCTCATGTTCGATTTTGAAAGAATTATTATAGTAGAAATTATTACAACTTAATTGTGTTTATTTTTTTTTGTTTTGTTTTTAAGTCATTACACTCTAATATAGAGGAAGTATAAAAATAATTAAAATAAATAAAAAATAATTATAATTAATAATTAAAATTGGATTTTAATTTTATATAATTTAACTTTTTCAAAAAATTATAAGCTATTATAAACTATTATAAACTATTATAAATTAAAATTATTATAAATTAACGATGAATGAATATTTTGGAATATCTGAATGAATATACTATATATATATATATATCGAGTATTCCTATTATACCTAATCTAACTTAATGTAAAAAAAGTAGGTATGAAAGATAGATCTTGATTCATTTTCAAAGAAAGGATTAGATCAGTTATAAAAGAAATGATTTCGGAATAAATAATAGAACATTATTTCTAATTAATAACTTTCTACGTTTATTTATTCAAAAGCAATTATTTTGTGGCGATAAAACAATATTAATTTTTATTATTTTTTTTACTCATGTTAGAAAAAAGTTGCAAGTTAATTGAATATTATAAAAGAAAGTCGTAACTTAAAAAGATTGGAAATATTGTATTGCTGTTTACTATTGAGGTTTTTATTTTTTTGAAATTATTAATACTCATCAGACACAGAGAGTTTGACTAATTGATATTTACTTATATTTCACAATTAAAATTATTTAATTATTTAATTTTATTTAATTTTATTTAATTATTTACTTAAGAAAAAAAATTAATATACGTACAACTAGTATAAATAAGAACATCCTATTTCGGAATAAAAATTTGCATTTATGATCAAGGAAAAACATCGAACTTTAACCAGTAAATGATATTATATATATTAGAATAATATTTCGAGAATCTTGATGAGAGCATTATCTATAGCTTTCTTTCTTTTTCTCTTTCTCTTTTTTTTTTATTAAATATGATTTTCATACTTACTCCAATCTTATATAGATTTCTAGATTAATTCGAAACATAAACTTATTTTATAAAATTATATAATTTTAATTATCATCTCATTATTTGTAATTTAATTTACAATAATCTAATGATATACGAAAAATCCAGGAATTATATATTAAATTGTAACAAATAATTTCAATTTACGATTCGCTGATTCTAATTATTAAATAATTTTTTATATATTTTGATTAAATTTATTCAAATATCATGAATATACACAAGTTCTTAATTATTTTAACTATTTACATAAATATTTCATTTAAAATAACATACACATTTGCAATCGGATTAAAAATATTAAAAGGATTGAAAACCATCTATATACACGAATCAATTTCTATATCCTATTTCTACTATAAATGCAAATAGAAGAAATCGCAATCAATGATTAATTAAGCAAGATAAGAAACTCGGTCCCAGGTAGAAAAATGGTGTGCGTTAGTTAACTGAACGACGACAGTTCTCTCATACAGGAACTACAAATAACGAACAGAAATTTTCCTGCAAATAGAAAATGCGGCTAATGCGCGAAAGTAGTGGACCAGTTTACTAACGATAATTTCGATTTGATGCGCTGACGCCGCTCTGTCATTACCACTGACAATGACGCGTTTGCTTTCGGCCTGAAATCGTGATAAAAGTCTTTGGTATGTTTCGAATAATTAAGTTTTTTAAATCCTTGATTAAATTTCATTACATGTAAGATGAGTGATCCTTATGAACAAGGTCATTTATTAAAGCACCAATTAGAGTATCATTAGAGTATCAATAAAGAAGTATAAATAAACTAAATATGTTAGATTTTGTGTAAGAAAATTAAAAATCAAATTTTTTTCATTATATTTACTTAAATTTTTATATAGATATTGTTCTTTAATGATTTTTAATAATCACTTAAATTACTTTAATCGCTATTTCATTGCAATTGCATTTCAATCCATTCAATCAATATTTTTTCAATTGCTGAAGAAATTTATTTTTATGGATAAATTTATCCTTATTCTTTGCATTTCTAAATTTCTATTTAGTATCTCTTTATTTATTTAATATCTCAATTAGGCTTGAATTGTCTGAGTATTTGTATCAACGTAATTTAACAAAATTTACATCACAATGTGAACACAGTCTGAGTTCAATATGTCTTTAATTTTTGAATATTCCTTCCATTTATTTTAACCTAAATCAATTTAACCTAAATTTAACCTAAATACAAAAACACATATATCATTCTCTTTTCATATCAAATATATAAATATACTTAAAAGATCTATTATCTTGCACAAAATGAAATGAAGCTAAACTCTTCATATTCATGACATTTATTCAAGATAAGATAAATATTTTTGTAAGATTTTTATAAGATAAGATTTGTTAATATCTTAATGAATTTTTTAATGAAAATTAACGGATTAATACTTTTTAATTTATTTGATTGAATTTGGATCAATTCAAGTTATGTTCAAATATGTATGTTTTAATTAATTTATGTGATTCAATATTCTAAAAAAATTATTAAATAAATCAAAATGATGAATTTTAGATTTTTTTTTAATAGTTATGATTGTCTTTTATTGAAATAGAAATATATTTATATAATATCACTTTAATTTTTATATGTAACTTATATATGGAATATTTATTTCAATACATTATTTTTAGAAATAGTTCGAAGAATAAGAGGAAAATTTTTTTATAAGAAATTTTTAATTTTTTATAAAATTAATTTTTAAATATTATTTATTATATTATCTATTTTCAGTTGTATATTTTAATGATGAGATGAATTATAAAAATTATACAAAAAATCAAAAATTTTTTTTATGAATAATACTAATATTAAATTAAATCAAAAAATAATCTTCATTGTTCAGATTAGAATGATGTAAATATTAAATGATTAATAAATAATTAAATAAAATAAAGTAAATGATTAACAAATGACTAAATAATAATTTAAAATATAAATTATGATTACTATTAAATATACAAAATTTTTGTTATCTATTAAATACAATCTAATAAAAGTATCTCATATGAATTAATGATTCTCAATCTTTTTTTGAAAAATTATCTCTTTTAGGCAAATAACCTGCGACTTTCTTTTTTTTTATAATTATATAAAAATGCATTTTTAATAAGACAAATTAAATGAATTATTTTATTTTTGGAAATAAACTATATTCAAGAAAATAAAGAAAAATATCAAAAATCTATCATAATAAGGATAAAATTAGAAATGATTAATATGTAAAATGATTTTATAATGTCTAAGAATCATAAGTTATTTCTATTCATTATATTTTGTATTTATATTAAAAATAAGTTAAAAAAATTTATTATAAAATTTTTCATATTGCAAATAATAATTATAAATAATAATTGTAAATAAAAATAACAAATCTCAAAAACTATTTTTTTGATTGAATTCGATGATTTATATCTTGAGAATTCGATTATAGATTATAAAATGAATTATATAAATAAACTTTCTGCGTTTCTGAAGAGAATCCTCAAGTCAATTTTATTTCTATCAATGAAACAAAATTAATATTCGTTAGAAAAGAAGAAAACGTTTCCTCGCAAAAAAAAAATATGTGACTGCGGAAATCATCTGGAATAGTAGCTCTTGTAAGGCGAATATGATAAATAAACGATAAATAAACTCATAAACACCTCTTAGTCAACGATGTCGGAGCGTCAAACGTGCGGAAAGCAAATAAGGATGCTCATTGCATTAGCGGTTGTTACATTCGAGAAAGTTTTATTACCGGACAATGCCGATAGGGAAGTGATTTAATCGAGCGTAAAGACGGAAAATTTATTGCAATGTAGTAGAAAAATATTCATAGAATTCATCAATATTCATATATATATTCATAAAAAAATGAGTGAAATGAATTTTTGAAATGACTATGACTATTATTTAAGAACAGCTGACAACATAAACACATATAACGGATAAATTTATTGATAATTTACTTTTTTATGGATTTGAATGGAATTTTTTTTTAAAACATTATTTATAATGTATGTAAGTAAGCAAATAGATAAATACAGAATGCTCAAATAAATTAATTATTATATTTAAAATTATACATATATATTTAAAAAAATAAAATTGATCTTAAAATATTTTCCACTATTTGATTTGCAAGAAATTAATTTATAGTATATAATATCTTTCTTTTTTTTTTAAAACTTTAACTTCTTATGAGACAGTTCATTCGTTTTACTAACTATAAACAGGAAAATTAATTTTGATTATTTTAATTTCGCGTAAAGATTGAAGATGATTTTTCAGATAAAAATAAGTTAATAAATTAGTTACACAGTTATTATCTCGCCAGATATCTCCTTTTTTTCTAGATTATTTCAATTCTTACAGATTTACAGTAAAAATGAACAATAATACAATATCAATAATATGATATAATTATATTGTTTTTTATATAATATCTATA